GAGCTACTCATAATAGCTTCTCTAATTATTTTAAATACATCTCTAATTTTACTTGCAATATCTTTCATTGTCTTTATGTTTCAAATTATATTATAACCGTTCGTGAACGTCTTCAATGTCTATGTACAATATTTATGCTTTATCGATTGTTTAAAATTCCTCCTTCACAAGTCAATCTATAAATCTTCTTTATTCCCCCATTCATTTGTATTGACGTAACATTCACGGTAGCAATCGTTCAATTATTTTAGATATATCTCTAATTTTATATGCGCACTTAATCTTTTATTATCTTGTTTTATTACTGTAGTCGCCAGTAAACATCTTCGATATCTATGTATGATATTTATGTTCATTTCGTGATCGTTTAAAATTCGTCTTTCACTAGTCAATCTATAAATCTTCTTCAGATTTCTTTATCTTCAGATTTATTTCATTTGATCGATATAACCGCTCATAATAACAATTGCTTAATTATTTTATCTGCACGCCCCATACTCACTTTTCTTCATTCAGTTTCTTGTTCGAGATTATATCGTGGTTCTACATTTACATATGATATTTATGTTCTTGATCGTTTAAAATTCGTCTTGCACGAATCAATCCATACATCATTTTTAGAACACCACTCTATAACAGTATCCTCTAATTATTCTAAATATATCTTCAATTTTATCTGCAGCACGTCGACGATATTTAGCGTACGTTCTCAAATTAACCAGCCATCCATTTATCCAGTTAGGCGTTCAACGCTATGGAACCTCAATGCCTAATCACGCATCTCGAATTCCGCGAGTTTCAATTTGAATTTAAAGGGAAAATAACGAAGCCACGTTAACATTTGGTGTCGTATCATTTGGACGGCGAATTGATTTCCCTCGAGTCGAACAGCGAATCGAAGAAAAGGCTTGAAGTGGCCGGTATTTAGCGTGGCTCGCTCGAATCCGTTTAGAGTTTATTATGCGGCTGACAGGAATTAATGACGTTCATGACCGGCAAGAAAAGGTACGGGCCGCTTGAATTCGAGCTTATTGAAACGACACTCCGCCGCTTGCCAGCAAATTGGAAGCATCTAAATGTGGAAGTTCCCAGAAAACTATAATACTCCGTCTGTACGTATGTGTATATACAATACACATATACACATATGCATATGTATTCTCATGCTTTCTTTCTCTTTTTCTTCCTTCTTTTCAATTTCCTGTAATAAAAGATTCGCTTTGAAGATAATCTACCCCCTTAATTGTTCCGCGCGTTAGTCACGCTTCACGTGAATTTTTACTTTGTGGCAGATTACGATCGCGAGCGCGGTGCCTCGAATTTATCCACCACAGGGTCCACGCGAACGGACACTCGATCAAACGAAGGAAAATTTCGAAGGCTACTCTCTTTGGTCAAAGTGTCCCACCAGGAATTCTTTTTTTCTTTTTTTTTTTTTTTTTTTTTTTTTTTTTTGAGATATATCTCTTACGAACGCCTTGTATTACGAGCGCGTGTTGCATTTCTGCGTTTCTAAAAGTTTGACACAAGTCGGAGAATGTACGTAGAAGTTGCGTTCGAGTAAATATCAATAAATATTTAGCGGGGCAATTTTTACACTTGTTACACGTTCACGGTTACTCGTGCTATGTATTAATTACACGTAAACGGATTTTCCAGTTGCTTTCAAATAATTAAGACGAAATTTGAAATTGTGAAATATTTCTAACCTGGCTTTTGTCAACCAAACAGGTGCATGCACAACGATCGTACAACAAACAGCTACGAGATATCAACTTCAACGTTTCAAATTGAACGAAAAAGAGAAACGAAAACAAAAAGGACGACTTACAAGAGTAATTTCCTTGGACATTTCGAGGCAGCGTAGTAGATAAGACATTTTAATTAAGGGGAACAGAACACACGCGATATCTTCTTCGAATCTTTGTGTGGTACTTGGGTAGGCTTCGACTTGGGTAGGTTCCGCTACACACAGAACAGCGACAATTCTCAGGTTGGTTTATCGGCATAGCCGTATATTTTAATAATCAGCGACGTCGGCCACGATTATTCACGCTTACCGGCGTTTATATAATCGAAACGACTAAGTGTTCGCCGAGATTGCTCGCTTGACGCTTCACGATGATTTATCGTCAGTTAATGACTTTCGATTTCGTATTAATTATAGCAATGCCTCTCTCTCTCTCTCTCTCTCTCTGTCCTTCTCCTCGCCTCATCCCCGGTTTCTGTTAATAGAAGCATTGTGGGTCGTCGCGAACTCGCGCGTTGCAACGTGTTATTACGCTCGACGTTTTCGTTACGTAATCGGCCAATGGACACACCGATAAAACAGCCAAAGTCTTGGCCGATTAAAACAAGAAATACACCACCAGGTCGTTTAATCGGCCTGCGTAATTACGTAATTCGCGTAATTACGATCACGTGTAATTGCGTTTGCGTTAATGGGGTGCACGCTCGGTTACGAAACGGTGGAAAAGTCGCTGCAGGTAACAATGCAATGATTTATCGTCTTCCAAATGTGTACTCCTCTCCTCTTTTTTCTTTTCTTCTTCTTCTTCTTCTTCTGCTTCTTCTTCTTTCCCCTTTCGTAATTCCACGGAAACGACGAAGAAAATTTGTACGGCGGAGTGATACTGCAGGTGATTTCTATACCGGGGAAAGGCAGGCTTTATTGAAGAACCAATTTGTGGTAAATTAACTTTTACGACTTCTTCGCCCATTAACATTATGAAATATGACGATACTTTATAATTCAGTTACTGCCTCGCGTAGACCATTATGTCTTACAGATATTTTGCGATAGACCGAAGATACGAAATGATACGAAAGCTCAAAGGTGTAGCATTCCGTGAGAAATGCAAACTGGTCGTTTTATTCGTATTTCTAGTATTGCCGTTCAAAATACTTTCCAACAGGAATGCAACATTTTTGCGATAAAAGCGTAAATAGTACATAGCATATAGCATATAGCATGTATTATATATAATAAATTTAAATATTGTATATATATATATATATATATATATATATATATATATATATATATATATAAAAAACTGGTTTTACATTTCTTGCGCGCTGTTGTTAGCTTCGTGGTTAGCAATAGCGCTGTCTTTCTTAATCAAAATGTCTGGTCTACCATTTCGTAACCGGAGCTTTATCATTTTCTTTGCGTTCTACGTGTTTCTTCGTTTAATTAAACATATTTAATTATTATTTCACAACACAGTCCGTGTAATAGAACTTTACTTCGAACGCTGGATAGGGCATTGCATTTTAATTAAGGAAGCCGGCACAGTGCTCTCGTAATTAAGAGTCGAAAAATGTGCCTATGCCTCTTATTCTAGTTTCTGCGCCGCGTGTAATAAACACCTGCACCGTGTCGGGAAATTTGGAAAAATTCCGCCAGCGTCAGGTGGGGCGGGTATGCGGCCACGTTCGTTTAATTAGCAGACACGATCAATCGCAAAGTGTGTCCCATGCATTTTCACACCCGTGTATCCATGAAAGTAGCATTCGCCGCTTTGTTTGGACAAATCAATTACCACTTCTCAACGCGGCCGTTGGTTGGCGAAGTTTGCAGCTCTCGGCCCCGCAAGAAGTTGAAGTCACCGAGTAACTTTGTTCCTTCCTAATTGCGCGAGCCAATTATTATTCGACGAACTTGCCCGGGGAAAACACTGTTTCGAAAATCCTGCAACATTATTTACACTGGCGTAGAAAATTCTTCTTAGAATCCGTTAGGCTGTCGCAGGCCAAATTCTTCGACATGTATTTGTAGCCTTTGTGAAATGAAATTTCCACTCGTCAGATATTAAACGATGTTTTGATCGTCATGAAACGATTTTATAAATATTGGAGTTAAAGTCTGTAGTCGATCATCGTTATTGATAATTTTAATTACACTTTTTCTGATGTATTATTTCTGTATATAATGTAAATATATCAATAATATGATAAACATATATACAGAATATATTTTTTAGAATACATTTATTTTTTAACATGGAAGATTGCCTGTTGCAATAAACGTAGCTTCTCTCGAAAACTTCTTTTAATTTGCGAGCAAGTTTTACCTCGTTAAGACAAAGTTTTAAGTATTATAAAAAAAAAAAAAAAAAAAGAAATTCATTTACTCATACCTCGTTTTAATCCACGATCTATCTTTCTGCAACGAAACAATTAACCAAAAATTACCAATCTGGCCAGCTTCAAGCTTTAAATTGGTAATTTGATAAATATTGTCTAACAACCTATTTTTAACCTATTTGATTAAATTTTGAATGATTCTAGATTAAATTACGACACTGGCCTCGAAACTAAAAATTGCAAAAATTTCTACAACAAATTCATAAAATTGGAGAATTGTAAATCTTCTCTTTTGTTTTTTTTAAAGGTCGTTGGTATGAATAATGAATTAATAATGAATTACGCAATTTATTTTATTAAGAATGGTGAACAACGGTTCTCTGGTTTTCTGTTGCAGCAAGAAGGTGGCCCAAGTGGACCAACGGGGATCCAGCAGTGTGCCGGTTGCGGCGGTCAAATAGTCGAAAGATGGCTGTTGTTGGCGATGGATCGGTATTGGCACAACGGTTGCCTCAAGTGCTCGTACTGTGGCGCGGCACTGGCGGAAATCGGCCACTCGTGCTACACCAGGAGCGGCATGATCCTCTGCAAAAGCGACTACAGAAGGTAAGGGTGTACTCACGTTTCTCTTGAAAGTAGCCCGGCCTTCCATTCACCTACCTAATGGCACGAGTATCGTTGCGAATTTGTGAAACCAACTACGAAATCCGTAGAGATCGTAGTTGGTTCCGTGGGGTCGCGAGATTCGTTTCCCAACGACTGACGTCGTGAATCGAAAATATCAAGAATTATCCCCTTTCATCCGCGAAAAGTCGTTACTAGGAAGTAATTAGGTATTAGATTTTGACTTTGAGAAATATCAATTTCCGTTCTCTGTCGACAGACTACGGAAGTTTGTTCAAATTTGCGAAATTACTTTTAAAAGTGTTAACGCGGATTAATTTAATTCCGCTAATATTTTTATATATTTTACATATTTGCGAATAGCATTTCTGTAGAAATATCCGCGATCTACCGATTAATTGACTCGTTCGGAACTCTTTCGGCTCGATGATCGAACGCACGAGGCAAACGATCGTCGATCGTTTCTCAAATCTCTTCGATCGCGAGAGACGTTTATCCAAGCACAAATTACATTTTACCGGCGCGGTAACATTATCAATTGTTGGAAACGCTGGCGTTACTTAGGGGGATGACCCGGTTGCTCGTCTGAAACGTCCCAACTCGCAGCCGTTGATTGATCGCGAAACAGGATTACACGGCACGAACGTCGCGTTTCGAGCTTCATTAAATCGCAGACACGCAATTGCTCGACCGATTAATTCCGTGGCCGCGTGTATATTTCGTATCCAGCCTTCTGTTCGATTATTAAACTGCGTCCACGAACAAGTCATTCTCGGTGTGAACGAGAACTTCGAGGTTGCGCCGAACTATCGTGCGAGAGAGGGGGGGGGGGAAAGAAAAAAGAAAAAAGAAAAAGAGAAATACGTCGCGTTGATTGCGCGAATACGTCGACGACGACGTGTATGCGAATAATCTCGAAACTCTCCTCCAAGTTTTAACGGATTAACGATAACTGATACGCAACGTTTTCACGCTGATAAACGCTTGCCACCGGTGAATTAATCACGCCACTTCCGGTGCATCGATGATTACCAACCGGGTAGACTCGTTGGCGCCAAGTATCGAGCAATCAACATTCCGCTCGCGCAAAATAGCTGCAATCTAGGAAGCTGTCACTTCACGGTGACACTTAGCCGCTGATTATACGCCGGCGTTCCTTCGTCCTCGCTCTTCCAATACACGCTGGCTGCGTTTGCAATAACGATGTCTGTCTCGCGCGCGCGTCGATTCTCCTCGTTCCGATCGTACAACGCCTTTTCATCGATCGATTTTTCACATCCTCGTGCGTGCGGATGGTTTATCCACCGGTCGAATTCCAACGGGGAATTTTAATTTTCAGCTCGTTAACGTTTAACGATGGGCAAGAAGACGAGGAACTTTCATTTGTCGCGTGCGAGGCTCTCGGCGAGGTTTAACACCCGACCGATTGGCCTCTTGGTTTTGTGTAAGTCGCGTGACAAATTATCGCGGTGATACGAACCGTTCGATAGATAATTGATCTGTCGATATCTATGAATAGAACTGAAGAGATAAAATTCAGATTTCTATCTCTCTTACAGTGTTGTAGAGCTACAAGCGAAATTACTTTTAACACTGGAACTGCCAAAGTGGTCAAAACCAATTTGAAAATTTTGCACACGTACTTTTTTGAGAGGTTTTGATGATCTTTCGTAAATATAAAGGGCTGTGTACTCTGTACCGTGTTATAAAATATTTCTGTTTCTTTGGTGGAAATTTTGTGCTTCAATCGTTCAATTTCTGGTGACCTGTTAATTATCCTCGATACGATCTCGCCCGTACGAATCGATTCTCACTTCGCGAGTGGCCGAAAAATCGCCGAACCGAGATGGTGGACGTCGCGTTTGAAAACGGTTAATCGACGGAGACCGTTCCAAATTTAGAAGATTCGAGGTCAAAGCGCAATTTAATGAGAAACAGACGCAGAAGTTAGTTGGCATTACCTTAAAATAGATCGGCACAATCTGGCCGGGCCAGCCGGTGTGTACGAAATCCAATGAATAGTCTGTCCATTATCTTTTTTTTTTTCTTCTTCTTTTTCTTTTTTTCTTCGTCGTCGACCTGTTAACGATTGCCGCGGAACGATCCCCCTTTTAATCTTTGATTGAACCTGGAATACACGCCAACGATCACGCGACGGATACGAATAAAAATTTAGCTCGCTCTCGTCAACGATCACCGGCAATAATTCGAGAAATTGTGCATATTATTAATTTACGGTCGATGCTCATTAAGTAGATCGAACGATTAAATCAACGTTTCTTCTTCTTCTTTTTTTTTTTTTCTGCTTCCCTCTTCTTTCCGCTTCTCTCGATTATTTTCCCTTTGATTTTTCCTCTCTTGGAAAGTTACGTCATTGTTCGAGAATTGATAAATTGGATAAACATGAAAGAAAATGACACGTAGTCGAAACGAATCGGGCAGCGTTCCGGGGATGGAACGAATTAATTAAACGGTCGACAATGAAGGAAAATATTCAGCCCCCGTGGCAGTCCGAAGTAAAACGGGTCGGCTGGTCGTTATGAAATTTTATACTTCGTTTAATTAATTCCTTTATTACGATCTTCGACGGCGACTGGTTTCGCGTAGCGAAGGCTTTAAGGAACGCTTGAAATTTTCGTCTTGAAAAGACGCTGAAGAATACACAAACGGAAACCATAAACGAAAGGATATTTATACACGTGGATTGCGTGACACGGTACGAAAAATTTCACACGAAGGAAAGTTAAAAATCAGGGTAATTAGAGAACGAACGATTAGTAATATTGTTTTTTTAAAAGATCGTTTAGATTGTCTAATTAATTTATTATTGCCTTGAAAAGATGTAATATCATTAAAATGGGCATTTTCCATTTTGTGAAAAAAGAAGCTGGCGTAGCATCAAAAACGAGCAAACCGATGCTGATGAATTAAAAAATGAAACGTTCACGAACTATTAATTGGATGAAAAAACTAATCGAAACTTATTGGCTCACGATTTTCTTCAATAAACGTTAATTACTACAACATGCAATCAGCTAAGTATTGAAAGCGTTTTAATATAATTTATTGATCTTTGAATTGAAAACGAGCTACAATTTGCTTTCAAATCGGAATTCTCAATTCGCGTTTAATATTATAATTTCAAAGTTATAATATAGGTTATAACGAGGCTATTATAATTCGAAGGTTTCGTTTTTTAACAAAAAAGTTTAAAGAAGGAACCGTTAAGAAAAGGTCCGGCGTGAAAACTTTACGTAACGATGTAAAAGATTTCGTATTTCCTCGATGGACGATGGCGGCCATAAGATTTCTCGGAACATTTGTATTCGTGGTGGTGTTAGCGGTGGTCCTTGCTCGTCGATACGATCGCGAGAGGACTCGTCCGCAGCAGCACACGTACGACCTAATCTGTTAGCACAGTCCAACGATTTAGTCTAGCGTAGTATCAATATTTGATTACGAGGCGTCTCCGTCCCGCATGCCGGAATTGGAGACGGATTCGTCCATCCAGATGTCCAGCAGCGCGAGCGAGCGACTCCTTCGTGTTTCCGCAAGTTGAACGCCGTCGTGGAAATCGATCCGGTTGGAGAGAGCAAAACGCGAGAAAAACGTCGTGTTAATTACGATCGTGAGCGCTCTCCTTGCGCTCCTACGATCTGTTTCGAAGGGGAGAAATGGGGCGTTTGAAACGCACTTTTCGCAACCTTCGAGACTAAGACCGTGCTTTTTCTCTTCTTCTTCTTCTTCTTCTTTTTTCGTAGTAAAATTTTACGAAAAATAGAAAGGAAAAAAAAAATAAGAAAATGTATTTTCACACCGGATGAAGTTACGTGAAGTTACTCCGACTCCGAAGAAGTTCTCCCGAGGAAGAGTTGAAGGCAAATGGGAAAATTGAATCCACCAGAAGGGAATTTTGGAAAAAGACGTCGGCGCGCCGGTATCCATGGATCGATCGTTCGAATCCCTCGAACACACGTAAGAGACATTTAAAATGCGTGAAACAAAATTCCACGTCATATTTCACGGCGGGAGTTCGACGGAACGAAAAATGGTTCAATTTGCCGGCAACGATTGCCTCAATTTAATATCCCCCGTTCAGTTTGCTCGTTAGGTTGCCGGGAACTCGGAGCCGACGGTATCGTTAAAGACAATCCTTTGACGGAACGACTCTCGCAAGGCACACCACGTCACCAGGCTCCTTCCCTCTGTGTGTGTGTGTCTGTGTGTGTGTGTTGTACTTGCGAATCAGCCGCGACAATTCGGGCGGCGGCCACCCTCTACCGCGTCCTTCGCGTCGTTTTCCCTACAAGGCGCGGCAGAGCTCGTAGAGAAAATTTCCCCGTGAAATTTCGATCGAAAAACAAGCCGCTGTACGAATTGAGAGAAGTAGCACTCCGGAGCGGAGTGACGCGACAGAAGCATCGACATCAGGCTTGCGGTAGGGGTTGCTACAAGGGGGAGCAGCGCCGAGAAAGAAGCGCAACGGAGGGCGCAACAGAGACGGTCGAATTGCACATCGCCAAATA